CAAAATTGAAGAGACAGAGTCACACCATCTTTCAAAACTAGTTGAAGATCTCGCGGGGAAGAAGTTCCATCTTGGATTACAGTAGCATATTCAGTGGCGGGTTCAGTGGCGGATGGAGGGGCGAAGACCGAGAACGTGGGCGACGATGTCGTTGATGTGGCTGTAGCTGCAGCTGTGACAGATGGGCGTTTACTCTGTATTATGTCATCAACCCCGGCCTCCATCTCATATGATGTTCTCTGCGTTAGGAAAACGTGAACAATATTCACAGAAGCATATCATGATCTTATATTAAGGACCTTCTGGTAAATATAATATAGGCAAAGCCTACTATCTGAAATTTAGGCGACAGTTTGAATAAAATAATCTTAGGCAGACGAATTGCTATTTACAAATCGATATGCACAAGGACGTGGCCCAAAAAGTTGAAATGTGGAACATTTGTGCCAACAAATTATATTTAAAGTAGTTACATTATATTTCGCCCAAAAAACTATTGATGTAAAAGGTCTTTTGGGGGCGAGTTTATGATAAAGAATAACTGTATACACACCCTGTAACTCGTAATGGCTACAGATGTATGCCCCGTCCTCTCTGCAATAAGCTGTTCGTCTACACCGGCGTCGTAGAGACGTGTAGCTGTTGTTGCTAGAAGTAGTGGAGTATAATCCTGCAAACCCAGCAAGTTTGCATATTCGCCCGACTGTTCCTCTCAAAGGAGAATAGGACAGTCAGCAAACCACGTGTTATCTTTCACAAACCTGAATGGTCGGAGATAGAAAGCAGAACACTTGCCATCTCTAGGCCTAAAAGAGAAATAAGAATTTGTAATATAGATATCATCTTGCCCATTCAATGACAATTTACAATAATGCCACTACATTTTAACAGTAATTCCAATATTATAAACCAAGACAAAAATAGAATTAATTATTTCTGACAGTCGCACATGTCATGCCTTCTTGTGTATACCAAATATCAGTGAGAGTGAGCTTGGGTTTAACGTACGTTGATAACCAGTCAGGTCTAAGCAGCGAGCGAGACCTAACTCAAGTATTTGAAAACAACATAACAAATCAAACTAAAATATTCACATGTAATATTATGATAGTAATACTATTTATTACTCACCGAAGTGACATGTACTTTTGGTAGAGACGAATTAGGCATCTCTCAGGTCGCTCTCTGTTGACGGATATGCTTATTGATTTCTTTTCCATGCGCCTGTGTTTTATTCCTCCTCTGTTTGTTTTGGAAACATCCTCTGTGTACCTAAGAGTTTTACACCCATCTTCGGTATCGGTCAGGTAGAACTGTGAATTCGGTCCCACCCTTAGATTTATGTGCTCATCCCCAGCTCTTAATGCACAGTGCAAACCAATCAGATACATTAGAGTGTCTAGGAGTTTCTGAGTGGTGTCCTCACCTAAAATTCCCTTTTTTCCACAACACATCCTCCTGTTCAACACTTATCACAGCAGCCTGTCTCTTATCAATCCCAATTCCCTGTCTCGCTAGAGATTTCATTTTGGCGTCCAAAAGAGTTCTAAGTCCGGAGAATAAGAGAGATTCGTAAAAGTTTATTTGAATTCCATTCCGACGAATAAAGTATTGAAGTGAGGCAAAAAATACATTAATGTTTCGTTCAATTCACCTTCATTCACTGCTAATTCCAAAATGTTTGAATTTAAGTCAAAACCACTAGGGCCTTCTCTTGCTTCCTCTCGTCTACCCATGCCTGATAGAGTCTGACAGCCCACATACTTTTGTTTTCAGTATTTGTAGAATAACATGAATTACATAACTTACTGAAGTCAGAATCTGTCAACCGTTTGGCAAAACGGGATCTATTTTCAGCAGTAACTATTTCCGGAACCAATGGCTGCAGTTGCTTCTGTAGAAGGGGCCCAGATGGTTTACGTTTGTTAGACAATGAATTATTATATAAGCTTTCTTCAATAGCCTGACTTGCTTCAAACAAATAATCATCTGAACCAGAAATCGAAACGTGGGGTGTCTTTTGGTTCTGAAATAGTGGTATTAAGTAAATCTTCAAAGTCAGAATTGATTACAACTTCTGAATTTTGAGAAAAAATGTTTTGCGTAATAAAAATGTCCATATCGGAATCAGAGGTTTCCATTATGAACCCAACAAACCAACAGTTCAAGCAAAAATGCATGATGCACGTGCCGTTATCAATTTTCATGCGATTAACACTCCCGTAGTTTTGTTCGTGTTAAGCTGCGTTCAGGCGAGGTGTACACACGTTTCCAGACCATGGCAAGCATTTGATAGTAACATAGACATTAGATGCGTACGAACAAGTAGTCGAACTTTGTTTTAAGTAGGAGAAAGTTCTCAAACTCGCGATTAGTTTCGCACGTGAAGCAGGTCACGTGCGAAACTAATCGCGAGTTTGAACATTCTCCACATATATACTGCTGTCACTGTAAAGCGGAAGGGAGTTGGTTCCAAGGAACATTTAATTTACAGCAGGGTAAGTTTACATCTTGAAGATGGCGTCACGTAATGTGCAGGGCCTAGATTTTCGAAGCTCTCTTAGCGCTAAGATAGTCGTATGTTAATGTTAATGTATGACACTTACGACTATCTTAGCGCTAAGAAAGCTTCGAAAATCTAGGCCCAGGTTATTAGACGTGGCGAACGTGTAAGAAAGAAAATCTTCGACTTCTTAAACCATCGGAACTTGGGGAAAGTAACCATAAATATGTATCCAAACGTCTAACACGTAATGGCTTGTGTGCGTGCAGATTGGCGTGGAGACGGGTGTGCAGATGGGTGTGCGTTTGTCTGATAATTGTCTGAAGTCTGGAACATGCCAATTCATGACCCGGAAAATATTAAGTCCAGACTTGACAATCAGTTTAGACATCTCTGACAATCAATGTCAGGTTGAGATGGAATCGTTCCTGGGTTACATGCTGAGTGAACAAAGCCTACATCGTCGTGTGGTTCACCCGTTGTGACTGTACAGTAATATTCATTCATCGGGTGTGATAGGGAACGTTCCTACTTCTCACTGAGTGTTGGTTATCACGGACTGTGTTGGACTGCATGTGTTGTATGGGGTATAGTTGACCTGCTTTCTTAAAATAAATTTGAAATTCGTCCAGAATATATGTCTATGAGTGACACATGTCCAGAATTAACTCCCCCCATACACGACTCGTAACAGCTGCAAGCATGTCACTGAACAAGGGCAGTCAACTCAACGTGCCAGTGAATAGTTATGGCTCGTGGTTTTCTTTGCGCTGAAATCACGAACGGCAATGTCACAGTTTTCTAGGACAGTGCTTACTTGAGTCCTTTTGCCACAGACATATTGTTCTGGATTTTTTTTATTGCAGTACGTTATGTACGACTGAGTGATAAACGTGAGGATTTCACTTCTCTGTCTGATCTAGAAGCATAGGACAAAGCAGTTGTAGATTTCCCTCCCTTGTGTTCATGCACTCTGCATGATACCTTTTGCATGCATTATATCCCACTGATCTGTAGCACATATGCTGAATCTGCTTGCTCGTATCCTTTTCTTTGCTCTTCAGAAGGGTCGTGGACAGTGCCGCTGCTTTGTCTTGTGCTGGGTGGTTGACAGGTCAACTTTGTGGTAGGGTTACTAAAGTGTGGCGTCGGGCAACAGGCGGTACTTGCTTTTTGTGTAAATAGCCTGGGTGGGACCTCCACGTTAACACCTGGTATCATCGCTGAGTTTCCACGGTTCATTCGCCGGATTGGTTCTGTTCATTTGCGTTTTACACTTATTGGTATGTATCTATATATATATTCTATTTCCATGTCAAATGTTCTCGTCACGATATGGCTGCAATATTGCCGATGTGACGTTAAATAATAACTCACTCACTCACTCAATTATTGGTATGTGAAATATTTCATTCATTTTCTGTTTTTTCCCCCACAGTATTAACAATTGTAACTATGCAAATAATAACTGTTTTACAAACGCCACACACAAAGGAACAAACGCAATGATTTTGATATTAATATGGATGCTTGCCAGTGGGAGGTTGTTTAACTCATGGGTAACAGCATTGCCGAGTTCCTGTAGAGTTGGGGCGATGGGGTAGCCCAGTGATTAAGGCGTTCGCTCGTCACGCCGAAGATCCGGGCTCGATTCCCCACATGGGTACAGCGTGTGAAGCCCATTTCTGGTGTTCCACGCCGTGATATTGCTGGAATATTGCTAAAGGCGGCGTAAAACTAAAGTCACACACTCCTGTAGAGTCGGCGGGTGGAGAAGGCGCGGAGATCTGCAACTCGTGCTACAAGTCTCTGTTAGGGTTGAGGTCTGCTGACTTTGTTGGCAACAGTCATGAAATTCGTATTTTCGTGATTTAGCGATTTTATACGATTTGTGAATGGTGTCCTTCGATAAATGGTAAAAACACGTAAAACAATCCTTCACAAAAAACACTTAGCATTGCATCCCATTATAGCCGTGGGTCTTTTCCAGACGCGAATTATGTAATTTTGAGTATCTCCAACTGCGATTACTGTTTATCAATGACAGTAATAACAGTAATGATTATTCATAATGTGTGAAGCCCATTTCTGGTGTCCCCCGCCGTGATATTGCTGGGATATTGCTAAAAGCGGCGTAAATCTAAAACTCACTCACTCAATGCATAAAAACTACACAATGTTTTAAGAGCCTAGGCGTTGAGACTCTCAATGTACTGGTCACTCAGATGCCTGTCTTGTACCCTTCAGACTCATCTCTGTTTTATAAGAATGTTTTACTTTGTTGCTGTTTCACAGTAGCGCATTTTCACCATGGCTTGAGTTGATATCCGTCAGGCATATACTAGTATATACTTTAAACGCAAAGACTCAGAACGTTAACCTAGGTTTCAGTTTTAACCTTGGCATACATAAAAACTACACAATGTTTCAAGAGCCTACGGGTTGAAACTCTCAATGAACTGGTCACTCCGATGTTGTCTTGTACCCTATAGACTCCATGGTTAAAGGAAGAACCAAGGAAGAAGATGCTGCAGACGCAGGGCTTCCCATGACACAGGTCCAGTCCCCAAGGGGTACAACCACGGATCCCCCACAAGCCAGGGAGTCCTGGGGCAGACATCTGGACTATATGCTCACAATGGTAGGATACAGCGTGGGGCTGGGAAATCTGCTGCGGTTTCCCTACATCTGCAACAGGAACGGTGGAGGTAAGATACCTGTGACACCTCATGTCGAGTCACATCGGCAATATTGCAGCCATATCGTGAATATAATAATACATACTTTAATAATAAATGAAGTTATTTCGTAAACTCTGTCAATAAAGGACAGTAAAACAACTAGGTTATCACAGATAGAAATATAAAACTAGCAGGTAAGCATTAAAACATTCATTACAATACAGCACAATACGATATAAAAGCGGGCTATAGGTCACCAACAACTGAAGGTAGATGACAATACTAGGGGCCATGGGACTTACAGTACCTTTACTACCTGCATGGACAGAAAGCTGTAGTAGAGGTTAGGGCTTCCACGGGTACTCGAGTACTCGAGGACAAGTCGGGTTTAGCTGGACTAGAGTCCATTTTCAAGGACTCGAGGACTCGAAAAGGGGAGATAACTCGAATGATTGACGTTGACGGACTGTCTGCCATGTGCTAAGCATGAGCGGCCGTTAACGTCTAATATTAAGAAAAAGATATAACTTTATTATCCCAGAGGAAATTCTCATATATCCAAACTGTCTCAAAATGAATATATACACAGTTCACAAAAATATACACAATAATTACATGTTCAAAAGGAATGCTATTTACAAATAAAACTGACATGATATAATTCAATTAACCACATAGGTGAAGAGGCTGAATAATTCTAGTTCTAATCACATGATGGTGATTCAAAATATTTGTTGCATTCACGAATACTTGATGGTATGAAAGACTGTCGAGCTCTGTTTTGAGGGAAGGTAATCGACAGCAGCGTCCAGAAGGAAGTAGTTCAAAATGGTGAGATCAAATATGTCATCTATCAAATCAAATTTTAGCTGCCTTTTTGAATATACTCGAAATACACTCTAGAAATTTTGCAAGCAGTATTAACAATTTTGAAAAGTCTGTTTTTGTCGCGATGAGACAGATCCCCATACCAACATAGAAAATTGTAGGTCAACACACTTTGAAAAAAGGTTTGATAAAAAACTGTCATTACGGTTTTGTCAATGCCTTGACGATAATAATGTTCAGAATCAGAAATTAGGCCAGTAACAGTGGCGTCATCTGCAAATTTCACAGTAAACAAGTCATATATTGACAAGTAACAGTCATTGGTATACAAAACAAAGAGTACGGATGAAGTAACACAGCCATGTGGATCTCCAGTAGAGGTTAGGGCTTCAACGAGTCCATATTTTTGGACTCGAGTACTCGAGGGGTGAGACTCGACTCGGACCCGAGTACTCGAAATTCATACCTTTCAAGCAAACGATCAATTGTCAAGATAGTTACCTAATCATTTTAAGAAGTGAAATCTCAATCGATGTATAATATTTACTCTCATCTGCAGACTTGTAACAACTAATACCATACAGCCACACCGTGTGAGGAATAAACTATTTAATGTAGGTGTTAATAAAAACATTATCAGATGGGTTAAAGAATTCAGGGTACATAGAACTCAGTATGTCAGTGTCAATGGCTATCAATCTTCTTTTCTCTCAACCTCTACTGGAGATCCACATGGCTGTGTTACTTCATCCGTACTCTTTGTTTTGTATACCAATGACTGTTACTTGTCAATATATGACTTGTTTACTGTGAAATTTGCAGATGACGCCACTGTTACTGGCCTAATTTCTGATTCTGAACATTATTATCGTCAAGGCATTGACAAAACCGTAATGACAGTTTTTTATCAAACCTTTTTTCAAAGTGTGTTGACCTACAATTTTCTATGTTGGTATGGGGATCTGTCTCATCGCAACAAAAACAAACTTTTCAAAATTGTTAATACTGCTTGCAAAATTTCTAGAGTGTATTTCGAGTATATTCAAAAAGGCAGCTAAAATTTGATTTGATAGTTGACATATTTGATCTCACCATTTTGAACTACTTCCTTCTGGACGCTGCTGTCGATTACCTTCCCTCAAAACAGAGCTCGACAGTCTTTCATACCATCAAGTATTCGTGAATGCAACAAATATTTTGAATCACCATCATGTGATTAGAACTAGAATTATTCAGCCTCTTTACCTATGTGGTTAATTGAATTATATCATGTCAGTTTTATTTGTAAATAGCATTCGTTTTGAACATGTAATTATTGTGTATATTTTTGTGAACTGTGTATATATTCATTTTGAGACAGTTTGGATATATGAGAATTTCCTCTGGGATAATAAAGTTATATCTTTTTCTTAATATTAGACGTTAACGGCCGCTCATGCTTAGCACATGGCAGACAGTCCGTCAACGTCAATCATTCGAGTTATCTCCCCTTTTCGAGTCCTCGAGTCCTTGAAAATGGACTCGAGTCCAGCTAAACCCGACTCGTCCTCGAGTACTCGAGTACCCGTGGAAGCCCTAAGTGACTGTCGGTGACAGGAGGCGGTTTGGTATTCTTGTTTCTAAAAACAAACGAAGGAGTTTAGAAAACTTAAGGCTGGATATGATTGATAGAGGAACTGTGGCTGTCTGTAAGGAGACAATTAGAACTGAGCTGCATGCAATGGGTTGGCAGAAAGGTTGAGGAATTCCATCACCGATCATGAATTCTGAACAAAAGGAACAAAGGTTGAACTGGTGCTTATAGCATAGAAATTTTAACTGGGACAATGTGATTTTCTCAGATGAAAGTTCAATGTGGCTGTTTCCTAATACACTGAAATTCTGGACCAAACAAACTGAAAAACCTTTGTATCAGCGCCCAAAGTACAGTCCGAAATTTAACGTGTGGGATGGCATATCTGTGTTAGGGGCAACGCCCCTCTGTGTATTTGAAGGGAATATGAACAGTGAGCGGTACACAGATATTCTCGAGGGACATTTACCTCCATCTGCTCATGTGTTCTATGGAAATTGTTGGATTTTCCAGCAGGACAACTACCCAAAACATCGATCAAAGCATTGACAGGCCTGGTTTCGGACATTATTAGATTGGCCAAGCTATAGCCCTGACCTAAATCCAATAGAAAATGTTTGGGGACTTATGGAGGAAAGTGTCAATAAGGGAAATCTGACAAATATTGCTGAAATGAAGGAAGAGGTGGTCCGATATTGGGACAGCATGGACCATGACTTTCTAACTTCTTTGATGAGCAGTATGCCCCGCCGCATTGAAGCCTGCATTGCTGCCCATGGTGACTTGACAAAATACTAACTGTTCACCTGTCTTTGAAACTTGAGTTATGTTCTGCTAACATTCACATATAATACGTAAGTAATGAGTGAAAAAAATACAAAAATACAAAATGTACAATCTTTAAATTCTCAATAATTTCTATAAACATACATAAATACATACATACATACATACATACATACATACATACATACATACATACATACATACATACATACATACATACATACATACATACATACATACATACATACATACATACATACATACATACATACATACATACATACATACATACATACATACATGCAATTGTAAAGCGCTAGTATCCAGTGTTAGCTGCTCAAAAGCGCTAGTGTCTGAGATGATTGAGAGGGTCACTGAAATGCCATATTGAAAAATAACGTTTTGAGCTTCATGATTTATGTGCACATCTCTCTCCAACCCATTCCCCCTACCACCCCCACTCCCACCCTTTCTCCAAAATCCTGGATCTGCCCGTGAGTATATAATTGTACACGACTGAGGCAGTAATTGGCCTAGGTGGGAATGGGTGAATAGGCCTTTCCACACACCGAAACTATGTTTCAGTGCAATCAATTGTTTTTCAAATTGCACTGCTGTTGGTAACAATTATCATTCGCAGCGTGAGTCTGGAAATGCAGATCCTGTGATTCAAAGCTCAGAACAACATGTTTCTTGTGCCCTTAGCGATGATTATCATACTTTTATGTCTTTATTTTCCTTTCAGGGGCTTTTGTGATCCCATACATCTTTTGTGTTCTCATTACTGGGTTTCCAATGATGTTCCTCGAGTCATCAATGTCACAGTTCTCGCGAAAGGCTGTCTTGCATGTGTGGAGTTTTTGTCCAATGTTTAAAGGTGAGTACTAAATAGGTGATACATATATCAAAGTAAGAATTTGAAATAAGTTTAGTTAAGAGATGCTTAGTCTCCAACACTAACCGTACGAATTTGTTTACACGAACATTTTCTGTCTCTCAACAGGAATTGGTATTGCAAGTGTGGCAATTACGTTCGTCTACAGCACCTTTTACACTCTGTATCTGGCCTGGCCCATCTACTACTTGGTGAAGTCCTGCTCCAGCGTCCTGCCCTGGACAACTTGCGGCAACGTCTGGAACACCGACCTGTGTGTGGAAGACGTGAATACAATCTACGACAGTAACATTACAGTTGGTGGAGTGAATTCAACAAATACAATCTTTGCTGTCGATCGCTGGGAAAATGTAACCCTGGCTCACACACCTTTCGAGGAATTCTGGCAGTAAGACATCCAACGTCATATACTACCCCCGTCCCCCAATAGATATTTACAGCCTGATGCCGCACCGGAGCACTCCTACCATGTGAAAGTGGCCTGTAATCTTCAGTCAAGTAATCGATAAATCAGAAATTCCAGTTGTTAATTTTGAATTGAATTTTTGAATTATCAGAAAAAAAGATTTGTTATACAACACAATTTGACAAAAATTGTTCCAGACCACAGAACTGTTCCAGACTACAGAATGACAAACCCTAAGGAAGGCTGGCGAAACAATGTAGAAAATAGGTTGTGACAATTTGCGTCCATACAAGCGAAGCTCATTGAAATTGTTTTAAACCGCCTGGAATCTCGTTCTGTATGTTGTTCTGTATATTGTTCTGTATGTTGTTCTGTATGTTGTTCTGTATGTTGTTCTGTATATTGTTCTGTATGTTGTTCTGTATGTTGTTCTGTATGTTGTTCTGTATGTTGTTCTGTATGTTGTTCTGTATGTTGTTCTGTATGTATGCATGTTGTTCTGTATGTATGTTTGTATGTATGTTGTTCTGTATGTTGTTCTATGTTGTTCTGTATGTTGTTGTGTATGTTGTTCTGTATGTCGTTCTGTTCTGTTGTTCTGTATGTTGTTCTGTATGTTATGTTGTTGTTCTGCATGTTGTTCTATGTTGTTCTATGTATGTTGTTCTGTATGTTGTTGTGTATGTATGTTGTTCTTTATGTATGTTGTTCTGTGTGCATGTTGTTCTGTATGTTGTTATGTTTATTGTTATGTTGTTGTTCTGTATGTTGTTCTGTATGTTGTTCTGTATGTTGTTCTGTATATTGTTCTGTATGTTGTTCTGTATGTTGTTCTGTATGTTGTTCTGTATGTTGTTCTGTATGTTGTTCTGTATGTTGTTCTGTATGTTGTTCTGTATGTTGTTCTGTATGTTGTTCTGTATGTTGTTCTGTATGTTGTTCTGTATGTTGTTCTGTATGTTGTTCTGTATGTTGTTCTGTATGTATGTTGTTCTGTATGTTGTTCTGTATGTTGTTCTGTATGTTGTTCTGTATGTTGTTCTGTATGTTGTTCTGTATGTTGTTCTGTATGTTGTTCTGTATGTTGTTCTGTATGTTGTTCTGTATGTTGTTCTGTATGTTGTTCTGTATGTTGTTCTGCATGTATGTTGTTCTGTATGTTGTTCTGTATGTTGTTCTGTATGTTGTTCTGTTATGTTGTTCTGCATGTTGTTCTGTATGTTGTTCTGTATGTTGTTCTGTATGTTGTTCTGTATGTTGTTCTGTATGTTGTTCTGTATGTTGTTCCTGTATGTTGTTCTGTATGTTTGTTGTTCTGTATGTTGTTCTGTATGTTGTTCCAGGTGTTGTTCCTGTATGTTGTTCTGTATTGTTGTTGTTCTGCATGTTGTTCCTGTGTTGTTCTGTATGTTGTTCTGTATGTTGTTCCTGTATGTTGTTCTGCATGTTGTTCTGTATGTTGTTCTGTTCTGTATGTGTTCTGTATGTTGTTCTGTATGTTGTTCTGTATGTTGTTCTGTATGTTGTTCCAGTACGTTGTTGTGTATGTTGTTCTGTATGTTGTTCTGTATGTTGTTCTGCATGTTGTTCTGTATGTTGTTCTGTATGTTGTTCTGTATGTTGTCTGTATATTGTTCTGTATGTTGTTCTGTTATGTTGTTCTGCATGTTCTGTATGTTGTTCTGTATGTTGTTCTGTATGTTGTTCTTGTATGTATGTTGTTCTGTGTTGTTGTTCTGTATGTTGTTCTGTATGTTGTTCTGTATATTGTTCTGTATGTTGTTCTGCATGTTGTTCTGTATGTTGTTCTGTATGTTGTTCTGTATGTTGTTCTGTATGTTGTTCTGTATGTTGTTCTGTATGTTGTTCTGTATGTTGTTCTGTATGTTGTTCTGTATATTGTTCTGTATGTTGTTCTGTATGTTGTTCTGTATGTTGTTCTGTATGTTGTTCTGTATGTTGTTCTGTATGTTGTTCTGTATGTTGTTCTGTATGTTTGTATGTTGTCTGTATGTTGTTCTGTATGTTGTTCTGTATGTTGTTCTGTATGTTGTTCTGTATGTTGTTCTGTATGTTGTTCTGTATGTTGTTCTGTATGTTGTTCTGTATGTTGTTCTGTATGTTGTTCTGTATGTTGTTCTGTATGTATGTTGTTCTGTATGTTGTTCTGTATGTTGTTCTGTATGTTGTTCTGTATGTTGTTCTGTATGTTGTTCTGTATGTTGTTCTGTATGTTGTTCTGTATGTTGTTCTGTATGTTGTTCTGTATGTTGTTCTGTATGTTGTTCTGTATGTTGTTCTGTATGTTGTTCTGTATGTTGTTCTGCATGTTGTTCTGTATGTTGTATGTTGTTTCTGCATTGTATGTTGTTCTGTATGTTGTGTTCTGTATGTTGTTCTGTATGTTGTTCTGTATGTTGTTCTGTATGTTGTTGTTCTGTTCTGTATGTTGTTCTGTATGTTGTTCTGTATGTTGTTCTGTATGTTGTTCTGTATGTTGTTCTGTATGTTGTTCTGTATATTGTTCTGTATGTTGTTCTGCATGTTGTTCTGTATGTTGTTCTGTATGTTGTTCTGTATGTTGTTCTGTATATGTTGTTCTGTATGTTGTTCTGTATGTTGTTCTGTATGTTGTTCTTGTTGTATGTATGTTGTTCTGTATGTTGTTCTGTATGTTGTTCTGTATGTTGTTCTGTATGTTGTTCTGTATGTTGTTCTGTATGTTGTTCTGTATGTTGTTCTGTATGTTGTTCTGTATGTTGTTCTGTATGTTGTTCTGTATGTTGTTCTGTATGTTGTTCTGTATGTTGTTCTGTATGTTGTTCTGTATGTTGTTCTGTATGTTGTTCTGTATGTTGTTCTGTATATGTTGTTCTGTATGTTGTTCTGTATGTTGTTCTGTATGTTGTTCTGTATGTTGTTCTGTATGTTGTCTCTGTTATGTATGTTGTTCTGTATGTTGTGTTGTATGTTGTTCTGTATGTTGTTCTGTATGTTGTTCCTGTATATTTGTTCTGTATGTTGTTCTGTATGTTGTTGTATGTTGTTCTGTATGTTGTTCTGTTGTGTTCTGTTTGTATGTTGTTCTGTATGTTTGTTCTGTATGTTGTTCTGTATGTTGTTGTTCTGTATGTTGTTCTGTATGTTGTTCTGTATGTTGTTCTGTATGTTGTTGTTCTGTATGTTGTTCTGTATGTTGTTCTGCATGTTGTTCTGTATGTTGTTCTGTATGTTGTTCTGTATGTTGTTCTGTATGTTGTTCTGTATGTTGTTCTGTATGTATGTTGTTCTGTATGTTGTTCTGTATGTTGTTCTGTATGTTGTTCTGTATGTTGTTCTGTATGTTGTTCTGTATGTTGTTCTGTATGTTGTTCTGTATGTTGTTCTGTATGTTGTTCTGTATGTTGTTCTGTATGTTGTTCTCTGTATGTATGTTGTTCTGTATGTTGTTCTATGTATGTTGTTCTGTATGTTGTTCTGTATATTGTTCTGTATGTTGTTCTGTATGTTGTTCTGTATGTTGTTCTGTATGTTGTTCTGCATGTTGTTCTGTATGTATGTTGTTCTCTATGCTGTTCTGTATGTATGTTGTTCTGTATGTTGTTCTGTACTCTGTTCTGTATGTTGTTCTGTATGTTGTTCTGTACGTTGTTCTGCATGTTGTTCTGCGTGTTGTTGTGTATGTTGTTCTGGATGTTGTTCTGTATGTTGCTCTGTATGTTGTTGTGTATGTTGTTTTGTAAGTCGTTCTGTATGTATGCTGTTCTGTATGTTGTTCTGTATGTATGTTGTTCTGTATGTATGTTGATCTGCATGTTGTTCTGGATGTATGTTGTTCTGTATGTTGTTGTGTATGTATGTTGTTCTTTATGTATGTTCTGTGTGCATGTTCTGTATGTTGTTCTGTATGTATGTTGTTCTGTATGTTGTTCTGCATGTTGTTCTGCATGTTGTTCTGGATGTATGTTGTTCTGTATGTATGTTGTTCTGTATGTTGTTCTGTATGTATGTTGTTCTGCATGTTGTTCTGCATGTTGTTCTGTATGTTGTTCTGTATGTTGTTCTGTTTGTTGTTCTGTATGTATGTTGTTCTGCATGTTGTTCTGCATGTTGTTCTGTATGTATGTTGTTCTGTATGTTGTTCTGTATGTATGTTGTTCTGCTTGTTGTTCTGTATGTATGTTGTTCCGTATGTATGTTGTTCTGTATGTTGTTCTGTATGTATGTTGTTCCGTATGTATGTTGTTCTGCATGTTGTTCTGTATGTTGTTCCGTATGTATGTTGTTCTGTATGTTGTTCTGTATGTATGTTGTTCTGTATGTTGTTCTGTATGTATGTTGTTCTGTATGTTGTTCTGTATGTATGTTGTTCTGTATGTTGTTCTGTATGTTGTTGTTCTGTATGTTGTTCTGTATGTTGTTCTGTATGTATGTTGTTCTGTATGTATGTTGTTCCGTATGTTGTTCTGTATGTATGTTGTTCCGTATGTATGTTGTTCTGTATGTTGTTCCGTATGTATGTTGTTCTGTATGTTGTTCTGTATGTATGTTGTTCCGTATGTATGTTGTTCTGCATGTTGTTCTGTATGTTGTTCTGTATGTATGTTGTTCCGTATGTTGTATGTATGTTGTTCTGCATGTTGTTCTGTATGTTGTTCTGCTTGTTGTTCTGTATGTATGTTGTTCAGTATGTATGTTGTTCTGTATGTTGTTCTGTATGTATGTTGTTCCGTATGTATGTTGTTCTGTATGTTGTTCCGTATGTATGTTGTTGTGTATGTTGTTCTGTATGTATGTTGTTCTGCATGTTGTTCTGTATGTATGTTGTTCTCCATGTTGTTGTGTATGTATGTTGTTCTTTATGTATGTTCTGTGTGCATGTTCTGTATGTTGTTCTGTTTGTTGTTCTTTATGTATGTTCTGTATGTATGTTCTGTATGTTGTTCTTTTTGTATGTTCTGTATGTTGTTCTTTATGTATGTTGTTCTTTATGTATGTTCTGTATGTATGTTCTGTATGTTGTTCTGTATGTTGTTCTGTATGTTGTTCTGTATGTTGTTCTTTATGCTCTGTTCTGGATGTATGTTGTTCTTTATGTATGTTCTGTATGTTCTGTATGTTGTTGTGCATGTTGTTGTGTATGTTCTGTATGTTGTTCCTCATGTATTTTGTTCTGTATGTTGTTCTGGATGTATGTTGTTCTGTATGTATGTTGTTCTGCATGCTGTTGTGTATGTTGTTCTGTTTGTTGTTCTGTATGTTGTTCTGGATGTTGTTCTGTATGTTGTTCTGTATGTATGTTGTTCTGCATGCTGTTGTGTATGTTGTTCTGTTTGTTGTTCTGTATGTTGTTCTGTATGTATGTTGTTCTGCATGCTGTTGTGTATGTTGTTCTGTTTGTTGTTCTGTATGTTGTTCTGTATGTTGTTCTGTATGTATGTTGTTCTGCATGCTGTTGTGTATGTTGTTCTGTTTGTTGTTCTGTATGTTGTTCTGTATGTATGTTGTTCTGCATGCTGTTGTGTATGTTGTTCTGTTTGTTGTTCTGTATGTTGTTCTGTATGTTGTTCTGTATGTTGTTCTGTATGTTGTTCTTTATGCTCTGTTCTGGATGTATGTTGTTCTTTATGTATGTTCTGTATGTTCTGTATGTTGTTCTGCATGTTGTTCTCGATGTATGTTGTTCTGGATGTTGTTCTGTATGTATGTTGTTCTGTATGTATGTTGTTCTGTATATATGTTGTTCTGGATGTTGTTCTGTATGTATGTTGTTCTGGATGTATGTTGTTCTGTATGTTGTTCTGGATGTTGTTCTGTATGTTGTTCTGCATGTTGTTCTGTATGTTGTTTTGTATGTTGTTTTGTATGTTGTTCTGTATGTATGTTGTTCTGTATATATGTTGTTCTGTATGTTGTTCTGTATGTATGTTGTTCTGTATGTATGTTGTTCTGTATGTATATTGTTCTGTATGTATGTTGTTTTGTATGTGGTCCAACGATTTGCCGAACTGAGCTACAGTGAGCGGCTGGTGAGTGCGGCATCTCCATGGTCTGTGGCGGAGACAGCCAGGGCACGGTGAGAATGAGACATAGTGAGAGTGATCCAAAAGTTGATATCGCTTAGAAGATACAGACAACTGTTGCACAGTTTGTCTACAACACCAATGTCTTGTAATCAATGGTATTCACAAGGTCTATTACGTATGCCATGTTTCGTGGGCGTCGGTTGCCTCTCGGCCTCCTCGAAAGTGTCGGTGGTTAGAAACGCATGGGTTTACATTCAGGCAATGTTTGTTTGTTGTTTCACGTCACATTCGAGCTATCAGAGTAGTCGCTAAACATTCGAGTTATCAGAGAGTAGTCGCTAAACATTCGAGTTATCAGAGAGTAGTCGCTAAACATTCGAGTTATCAGAGAGGAGTCGCTAAAGATTCGAGTTATCAGAGAGGAGTCGCTAAACATTCGAGTTATCAGAGAGTGGCCGCTAAACATTCGAGTTATCAGAGAGTGGTCGCTAAACATTCGAGTTATCTGAGTGTAGTTGCTAAACGTTCGAGTTATCAAAGAGTAGTCGCTAAACATTCGAGTTATCAGAGAGTGGCCGCTAAACATTCGAGTTATCAAAGAGTAGTCGCTAAACATTCGAGTTATCAGAGAGTAGTCGCTAAACATTCGAGTTATCAGAGAGGAGTCGCTAAAGATTCGAGTTATCAGAGAGGAGTCGCTAAACATTCGAGTTATCAGAGAGTGGCCGCTAAACATTCGAGTTATCAGAGAGTGGTCGCTAAACATTCGAGTTATCTGAGTGTAGTTGCTAAACGTTCGAGTTATCAAAGAGTAGTCGCTAAACATTCGAGTTATCAGAGAGTGGTCGCTAAACATTCGAGTTATCTGAGTGTAGTTGCTAAACATTCGAGTTATCAAAGAGTAGTCGCTAAACATTCGAGTTATCAGAGAGTGGCCGCTAAACATTCGAGTTATCAGAGAGTGGTCGCTAAACATTCGAGTTATCTGAGTGTAGTTGCTAAATATTTGAGTACGGATAAGATGTGACCAATCATAATGGCAGCAACTGAACGTCCCGAGATTTGTATGTTAGTCTGTACTTACGAGATATATGAATATCAACTGAGAGACTGTGACTGGTGTTGTTTGCCTTCCAGGTACAACGTCTTGAACGTCTCTACCGGCCTGGAGGACGTTGGGTCTGTACAGTGGGAAATAGTCGGATGCCTGCTCGCCGCAATAACTATCATATTTGTCTGTATCGTCCGTGGTATCAAATCTGCTGGGAAGGTTTGTTAAACTGAAATACAGTCATGGTAATTCCGAACTTCTGAGGTTCCCAGCATGCAATGTGTACCTTGACAGTGTTTCCGTTGCTTCATCGTTACTTCACATAACAAAACACGTTTTGGAGAATTCGGAAAACCGACATAATGTTTCTCAATGAACTCATTTCTGAGATCTGTACACCGGACATATTTGTAAGAAGGGTTTTTCATTTTCTACGTTGTTTAGATTATAAAAAAATGACAAATTCTGTTTCCTCTTAAGATCCACTTACATCTTCCCGTATCTTTCGTTAATGATATTAGAACTTGTTCACTGGTCACGAGGGGTACATGGATTGATGTACCCTCTATGTTTGTTTATGCTCCCGCTCAACCCATGGGCATGGGTACAATGTGTGAAGCCCATTTCTGGTGTCCCCCGCCGTGATGTTGCTGGAATATTGCTAAAAGCGGCGTAAAACCAAACTCAGTCAGTCAGTCAACCCATGGGCCCTGTGGGACCAGTGAACAACGTTTTTATCTTACCGAACACCTCAATGTTAAGTTTGAACTGTTTGAGTATGGAGTGAGTGAGTTAAAATTCCAAGTCACATGGACAGTATTTCAGCCATATCGCAACTATAAAAGTTATAAATGTATAAATGAAATAAAAACAAACTTATATACTTCCCTGTCTGCAAAGAACAGTACAATAACTACTCTATCACAGATTTATTCTTAAAACTAGCATATAACCATGACACACCTTTAACAGTAAAGTATAAGTAATGGGGTATAGACCACCAACAACTTAATGTAGATTGCCATACTTGGGACAATGGGGACTTTCAGTGCTTTGGCTATCCGAGTTTAGAGTTATCTCCTTTCCATCGATTTGCATTCGCAAAACATCGGTAATTTTACATGGCTCAATTATTGGAGATAAAGAGTTACTAACACGAAGTACCAAATGAATTCCCACAGTTCGTCATTCCCAGCGGGTAACGTAGAAAATGTAAGCGGGGTACACAGAAAATAATAGAAGAGCTCTCAGCCAATTTATGTGTAAGGTAAGACAAATGTTACATACGTGAGTTAAGATAAATGGTGTTCTACATAACAAGGGCTACATCCTACTGTTTGCCTGACTGCAGGTGGTGTATGTGACCGCACTACTGCCGTACTTCCTGCTCATCGCCATCTTCATTGCGACGCTGCTGCAGCCGGGAGCCTCAGACGGCCTCCTGTACTACGTCGTTCCGGATTTCCCCAAACTACTGGAAATACAGGTGGTATTCTCGGCTGGTTGGTTGGTTGGTTGTTTAACACCACACTCAGCAATATTCAAGCTATTTAGAGACAGTATATAATTGATCGAGTCTGGACCAGACAATCCGGTGGTACACTCGGTTGACACTCACAATTGTTCCTGTAAATATAACAAAGGGACAGCTTGTGGATAAGGTGAAACCGATGGAAACGTTTCTCTGTGGGTAAATAGCTCTTCCTATACACGTCAGCATCCAACAATGTGCCTGGCGCTGTGTTTAGCGTATTAAAAAAGTCTGCTAGAATATTACACGCGTCTGTTGCTATGACTGCAGGTGCTGTGTGTAGCGTATTACAAAAGTCTGCTAGAATATTACACGCGTCTGTTGCTATGACTGCAGGTGCCGTGTGAAGCGTACTACAAAAGTCTGCTAGAATATTACACGCGTCTGTTGCTATGACTGCAGGTGCTGTGTGTAGCGTACTACAAACGTCTGCTAGAATATTACACCTGGCTGTTGCTATGACTGCAGGTGTTATGTAGCGTACTACAAACGTCTGCTAGAATATTACATCTGTACGATGCTATGACTGCAGGTGCCGTGTGAAGCGTACTACAAATGTCTGCTATGTGTTTCAAAAGTCTGCTAGAATATTACACCTGTCTGTTGCTATGACTGCAGGTGTGGGTGGAGGCATGTCTGCAGGTGTTCTACTCGCTGGGCCCTGGCTGGGGAATGATTGGCACGGCTGCAAGCTACAAACAATTCAATCGACCATGTCTCAAGTGAGCAATAGTTTTGTTTAACTCGCACTTAGCAACACCTCAGACATATTGCGGCGGTCTGTAAATAACCTGGACCAGATAATCCAGTTAGATGCATGTCCCATGCTGGCAGCATTCACTGAGCCGCGTGTACAATGTATATAGGTGTCCATGTCGGGAACACCCGGTGTCGCGTCGTATTTATAGTGATTCATAAGCGCCTGTCCGTGATATGCTCGACGAGAAGAGATTTGCTGTGGATGTAGTGCGGGTGTTTTCGATTATATTTACATTGAAACCCCGGTGTTTCCATGTGTACATATCTGTTCAGATCGTGTTGGTGGGGTTTATGGTTACTATTGATTGTTTACTCTGTACTCTGATAAATATAATAAGTATGTGAAAAGTTGCAGAATGAAGACGAATGAGGTGCAAGACCAACAAATAACAGTAAAATGTGACTTACGTTACTTAAAAATACAATTAATAATAAGTTGTAATAACAAATCAATGTAAATTAGTACGAAGGAATCATCTTGACAGATCAAAATAGCGTGGCAGTATAAATACAATGGAAAGACCATGTACAGAAAAACCAGTGGTTATAGACTCTGTTGATAATATTCACCTAGCTGCAGCAGTGTCCCAGCTCACACAATAGGCTTAATCTGGGCATCCTGGGAGAAACGTGATCGTCACAGTGCTAGTGTTCGTGGAATGTGATGTGAGATGATTGAGGCAAGAGTGACCCATGCATAAAGCTTTCAGGAGTTTCATTTCTGGTACTCTCTCTTAGCCCTTGTCCTGCTACCCTTTTTTGCCTGCTTCTACCTGTTACCCTGGGCCTAGGAAGCCCAGTCACACCCTAAAAGTGTTTACTCCCTAAGCATATTTTCGCACAAGGCCCTATGAACAGTAATTGCTAGTTCACAGAGAGAAGAAACAATGCAGACACTCCAGTCAACAATTAGAGCTCAACAGTAAGTATGTAATAATCACAGTTAAGTTTTATTGATAAAATTATGTTTTCTAGTTTTCTAAATTTTTACGATTTGTGAATACAATAAAATGTCATGTATCATATTTATGAAATTTCTTTTTTCAGTATCGTTACAAATTTCAGATTGTACCATCGCAAAGAACATTCAAACATTTTATATATGTCACGGACTGCTGCAAATGTATCCTTCTGTTTTCGGACTGATTTTGTTTCCTTGTTATCAAATCGCAGTAAATCCTCTAGTTCCTGAAAGCTCCGTTGTGACATTGTGGCTCTGATGAGTGAAATTCCATATTCCTTGACCACAACACAGAAGTATCAATCATGTTTTGCCTTAAGTGACCACATGTGATCATTGGCAGTGCAGTCCCGGAGGGCAAAGCTTGATGCGTCAGGTGAGGTTTCTCCTAGGGTTGTGATCGGCGCCTGGTGTGGCTGTACAACTCAATTCTGGAGTTAATGTTGGATGACTATGTTGCAGTTTGTGCAGACGAAGCAGGACAACTGGGAAGAAGCAGAGACTGCTTTCTGTTGGCGTGCTCGTTTCTCTGCTGCCTGCTGGGTTCTCTCCTCCTCTGCTTGTCTGATTCCACTCTGCACCATTTGACGCCAGCAGCTGTTTCCCAGGCATCAAGGTCAATGTTCACACTTTCATGTCACGTTTGCACACAACATTGAACCTGCGAGTTGGACGTCCTGTGCGTCTGCTACCAGTGGCAAGTAGAGTAGGTTCCTGGGAATCTTCCATGAGTCCAAATTCTTTGCAGGCATATACAACCTTGTCCACCAGTCTCTGCAGGGCCTCTTCAGTGTGTGAGGAGATGGAGAAGGCAGGTGAGCAGGACCCGTAGTATATAACTGTGCTCTTCATGTCCTCGTGGAAGGAAATCACCATGCTGCGTAGCTGAGGAGGACATCCCGTCTTCTCCAGGAGACGGAAGAGGCCCTTTCTGCTGACAAGGTCAAAAGCCTTTGTTAGATCGATGAATTACAGATACAGTGGCTTGCCCTGCTCTCTGCACTTCTCCTGAAGCTGGCGCACTGAATAAATACCGGCCTGAGCTGAAGCTGCACTGCGACTCTGGGTACACTCGGGCAGCCAGTGTCTGGAGCCTGGTGAGGAGGATGCGGGCGTATACCTTCCCGACTATGCTCAGGAGGGAGTTCCCTCTGGAGTCACTGCGGTCGCCGTTGTTCTTGTAGAGAGTCACAATGGAGGCATCACGTATGTGGGACTGCACCTCCCCTGCAGCACAGGCAAAGCAGGTCGAACAGTGGCTGCAGCACTGCTGACTTCCCAGCTCTGAGTAGTGTTCGACCCATCGCTTTATCTGTTGATCACGGTCAGTCATTGTCTCGCCTGTTGCAGACTTTAGAGGAGCAGTTTTCTTCACTTCTGGTCTAACTGCCTTCTTGATCCCATCGAACATACCACGAACATTTCGGCAGTCAGCTGAACGCTGGATGCCCTCTCACAGTTGCAGCCAGTTGTCATTGGTACATCGTCATGCAACCCTCTGTGCGTTGCTCTGTGCAGTTATAAATGCTGCCCAAACAAGTGACTTGGCTACTGTTACAGGATTTGTCAACATCCTCAGCATCTATGCCCTACTCTGAGTAGTCCAGAAGACATATATGACCTTTTCTACGATGAGCTGGACACCCAGGTTGGCAGGGTACCGAAATTGGAGCCGCTGTTCCTTCTTGGCAACTTCAACGCCCGGGTTGGATCTCATCACCAGTCGTGACCATCTTGTATCGGTCACCACGGCGTCAGAAAGATGAACGACAATGGGCAGAAGTTTCTGAAGCCGTGCTCATACCACAGCCTTTGCATCCAGTCCAAGCGTGATGCTATTCTGGTCACATGTGATAAGAATCCCCAATCAGGCATGCATTTCATCAACATCTGTAACTTTCCATGCAGTTTCTGGCTTTCCTTTATCTCTAGCACTTTTCTTTTCTTCAGCGTTTGTAAATGTAGCAATGTCATTTACCATTTCCTCTGAAATATACAGCTGAAACATATGCACTTCATTTGCCACATGATCCACGTGGACAACTTTCTGCAGTGGCCCTTACAAAATGTTTGTCTGTGCAACACGTCCATGTGGTGGTGGATTCAAAGACCAGATCTATGCTGCCATCTTTGCTTGATAGGCTTCTTGATCCACAGTTTTTTAATCAGACACAGAATCTTCACTGTCAAAAGACGTTGATTCAAGATCAGAATCATTTTGTACAGTTTTGTACATAGTAACTGTCCGGAACAACTGTCTTCAGAAATTTGCATGTGAGCATCATCCTCGTGAAGATGTGCTAAAATTGGCCTAAAAGTACCGGTTTTCCATCGCCTTGACGCTAATTCCACAGTGACTGCCTGATAACTGTAGTATATGTTGTCATACCCACATGGACAATTTGATAGCTAAATTGATATATCGGGGGTATGATTGGGCCTTTGAGGCCCATGGTAACAGTTAGTGCATGTAGATTTCAAAATTAATAATCTTTATTAATTTGTTATAAATTGTTGTTTTTAAAATTAACTGATGTGTTCAAGACCTCAAGTGGGAGGATTACATGGAAACACAGCCCTATCCGATGTACAGTTACGTTTTTATGTGTAAGCAAAGTTTCATTCGGGCCTCTCAGGCCCCCGGTAGCAGGACAAGGGTTAGAATATCAGATTTTTTCACGTAAGAACATTCTGAATGCACCAGACTTTCAGATCAATCTTATCTCACATTCTATTATTTCATTTAATAACCAGCACACAACTGCCCTTAGACTAATATCTACTCTCTGAAATGAACATATTTTACTGAAAAAACACTTTCTAAATTATATAATTTCGAAGTTCGAATGAATTAATGCAAATAAGTAAGTAATCGACTCTCGCGCTCTCTACCAACCGAACATTATTTCAAGGTAGGTAGGTAGGTAGGTAGGTAGGTAAGGGTTTATGGCGACCTTGGGCCTCAAAAGGCCTATATGCGCCCAAATTATTTTAAGCGAACTCCATAGAGTTATTTCCCTTAGAGCGCACTTTACGAATATCCTGTAACTCAGCTTGTGATTGAAACCAGTTCGGCAAACACCGACAACACTGCATGCGACAGTTTTCGATGTACGGAGCAATTGTTTACATTCCCTATATGGCAAGTGTTCTCTGTTTGGAAGCTGTTCACCTCAAAGTTCCAGTTATCAATTTCTTTCAAGTCGTATGGGATAATAAGTCTTATATTGCATCAATAGGAAGCTGAAGTGAGTGCATATACCCCAATTTATATAATATAGGCCAAAATATTGTCGAAAATGTGTGACATTGTGTCTTTAATCAAAACAATGTAACGTAATTGCAACACTTTCCCACAATGGCTAACGGTGTCTCCTACCAGTACATGTGTGAAGATACATATCACTGAATGAGTCACATGTAAGTGGTCAAACTCCATGGCAACTTGACCTTCACAGGGACTCCCTCATACTGTCCATAGTGTCCGAGGGCACCAGCGTCTTCTCCGGCCTGGTCACATTCTCCATCCTCGGTGTGATGTCACAGAAAACGGGCGTTCCTATTGCAAACGTGGTTTCGTCAGGTATGTACGTAGTCTGCCATGGTGGCTCCATCTCACGAGCCTGCTCTTGGCTTATAGTGCAACAGTGTCTCCTCGTCATCTTTCCAGGCAGTTGATCTACAGTAATTGTTCTCTGGCCGTGACGTTCTTACAGTATTGTTCTTCTAGTGTAACATGCTAATCTTTGTTTTAACTCTTGAAGATCTCGTTTGTTTACATTTAGTGTTATAGGTAATTGTTAATCTATAACACAGAAGGCAGTCTCCCACCAGGTCAAATTCATACACACGTATATCTGTACCTGTTGTTATTCTGCCTGGAAGGAAGAAACATAGACCGGTCCGCCAGTACTCAGTATATTGGGTCTGATTACGGTGACCATGTTTTTTAATGGCGCTCTGGCATTTCAGTCGGAAAACACTGGAAAACCGGCATCAGTCTCAATGCAAGGGAGGTAACTTCCCACAGATGGCCAGTTTCCACCCTTACCGAACAAACGCACTTACACATCAACATACACACACCAACAGACACGGATTGTGCGGTAGCCTAGTGGTTAAAGCGTTCGCTCGTCACGACGAAGTCCTGGGTTCGATTCCTAACATGGACTCAATGTGGGAAGCCCAGTTCTGGTGTCCCCCGCCGTGATGTTGCGGGAATTTTGCTAAAAGCGGCGTAAAACCAGACTCACTCACCTACAGACATACACACCAATAAACACACTTACATGCAGACACACACCTGCACACACACATTGCCACAATATGGAGTGAGTGAGTAAGTTATTATTTAATGTCACATCAGTACCTTTGCTACCTGCATGGACCCTAGCTGGATTTATCCCTTCATCCCTTCAGCCGCTGGCGATTGTAGGAAAATTTAGCCGAAAGTTAAAAGAACAAAAATTCTACGATTAAAATGTGGTAAATGCACATCTTTACTTTGAAAGTTTTGGGACTTACGTACCCTCTCAGGAGGAGCCAATGATTTTACAGTACTTTACCCCCCTTTGAGGGTACACTTCGATTACAATATGGTAAAGTACATGCGTGGTTTTACGTGTGTGATACCAACACATCACCTTGTCACACAACCTTGATCATAAACTGACCAGGTGCTGTCTATAACGCACATTCATATAGGAACTAAAGTGTTTGGTTCAACATACTACAATCACTTGCGCATCGTCTTAATGTGTTTACAACAAGACGGTTATACGGTTCCCAGTCCTAGCAAACAAAGAGACAAACATGACAGAAACCAACCTATTCAACAATGGCCAGAGATGTGTTATATGGATAAATATATTCGATGTTTCTGTTGAAGGCCCAGGTTTGGGATTTGTAACCTATCCACAAGCTCTGGCCCAACTTCCGTTCCCTCAAGTGTGGTCATTCCTGTTCTTCCTGATGTTGCTGATGATTGGCCTGGACTCACAAGTACGTAAACACTGTGTAAAACTTGTAAACCCTGTACTCACAGGTACGTAAACACAGTGTAAAACTTGTAAAACCCTGGACTCACAAGTACGTAAACACAGTGTAAAACTTGTAAAACCCTGGACTCACAAGTACGTAAACACAGTGTAAAACTTGTAAAACCCTGGACTCACAAGTACGTAAACACAGTGTAAAACTTGTAAAACCCTGGACTCACAGGTACGTAAACACAGTGTAAAACTTGTAAAACCCTGGACTCACAAGTACGTAAAGACAGTGTAAAACTTGTAAAACCCTGGACTCACAAGTACGTAAACACAGTGTAAAACTTGTAAAACCCTGGACTCACAAGTACGTAAACACAGTGTAAAACTTGTAAAACCCTGGACTCACAAGTAGTACGTAAACTCACGTGTAAAACTTGTAAAACCCTGGACTCACAAGTACGTAAACACAGTGTAGAACTTGTAAAACCCTGGACTCACAAGTACGTCAAAACAGTGTAAAACTTGTAAAACCCTGGACTCACATGTACGTAAACACAGTGTAAAACTTGTAAAACCCTGGACTCACAAGTGTAAAACTTGTAAAACCCTGGACTCACAAGTATGTAAACACAGTGTAAAACTTGTAAAACCCTGGACTCACAAGTGTAAAACCCTGGACTCACAAGTACGTCAACACAGTGTAAAACTTGTAAAACCCTGGACTCACAAGTACGTAAACACAGTGTAAAACTTGTAAAACCCTGGACTCACAGGTACGTAAACACAGTGTAAAACTTGTAAAACCCTAGACTGATGTGACGTTCTTGTTTTGGCTTATCTATTAGGGTTTTTTAAGTGCAAGGTGGTTTGTTCTTACAGCTTGTTCAGCTTGATCTGATCAAGTGAATACTAATGCATTGCGTGACCGTGTCACAATTGGTTGGGTCTATTACTGTGAAGGGGTGCACCTTTGTTAGTTGATTGTCAACCTGTCCGAACAGCCGAGACCAGGTCCCCTTTTGACACTCTCTGCTCCCCTATTTAATGAGGTTAACTCGACCTGCCGTTTGTGCCATGTGACCTCCCGGGTCATGCATATGTAGAGTAGCTCAGGTCAAGCTGAACAAGCTGTAGTTATGTATTCCTTTGAGTCCCTGGCAGGGAATGACATATTTCATTTCTTGAGAAACGTTAATACAATTGTTGGTTCAAGTACTGTATTGACAGAGCTGAACAGAAGAGATAGTAAAATGTATATAAAGGGCGTTTAGTCCCTTCGGACTCTATTCTATTCCATTCTCTTCCTTCTAGTTTCTGAGTATGGAGGTAGTCGTGACCGCGATGGTGGACCAGTATCCACAGAGACTCTACAAGTGGAGGTGGCTTGTAACATTAGTCTTTTGTTTGATATCCTATCTTTTGACAATCGGTTTCTGCACACAGGTGAGTTATATCTAAAACTGTATTACATGTATTTCATTGTTGTACAATCATTATATCATACAATACAGTGTATACAATCTATGCCGAATATAGGGATATTTTATTGTCAAAACCAGTTTTCAATGCTCAATCACAGCAAAGTTTCGTGTCCTGTCAATCCGGTATTCTACCAGACTATGTCGACGACATCAGCACTGACCTCATCACAGGTCAAGGCGTCTGACGCCTCAAGTGACAAGGATTAACAAATGACACTCAAATATGGATTTCAGAAGCATTCAGCTTTATGGATAACAGTTTCCTGTTAATTACACAGAGATTCATACCCGGTCATCAAGCTGAAACGTAGAAATAGTAGAATCAGTAGTAGAAATAGTAGAAGTAGTCGTACCAGCAGTAGTAGTAGCAGTAGAAGCAGTAGCAGTAGCAGTAACACTAGCAGTAGCAGTAGTAATAGTAGAGTAGCACCAGCAGCAGTAGTACCAGCAGCAGCAGTAGCAGTAACATGGATGACACCCAAACACATGGATGACACACAAACACATGGATGACACACAACACACATGGATGACACACAAACACATGGATGATACAAACACATGGATGACACCCAAACACATGGATGACACCCAAACACATGGATGACACCCAAACACATGGATGACACCAAACACATGGATGACACCAAACACATGGATGACCCAAACACATGGATGACACACAAACACATGGATGACACACAAACATGGAACAAACATGGATGACACACAAACACATGGATGACACACAAACACATGGATGACACACAAACACATGGATGACACCTTAAACACATGGATGACACATGGATGACACACAAACACATGGATGACACCACAAACACATGGATGACAAACAAACACATGGATGACATAGACAAACACATGGATGACACATGGATGACCAAACACATGGATGACATGGATGACCCAAACACATGGATGATGACACACAAACACATGGATGACATGGATGACACAAACACATGGATGACACACAAACACATGGATGACACCCAAACACATGGATGACACACAAACACATGGATGACACCCAAACACATGGATGACACACAAACACATGGATGACACAAACACATGGATGACACACAAACACATGGATGACACCCAAACACATGGATGACACAAACACATGGATGACACCCAAACACATGGATGACACACAAACACATGGATGACACCCAAACACATGGATGACACACAAACACATGGATGACACACAAACACATGGATGACACCCAAACACATGGATGACACACAAACACATGGATGACACACAAACACATGGATGACACACAAACACATGGATGACACACAAACACATGGATGACACATGGATGACAAACACATGGATGACAAACAAACACATGGATGACACACAAACACATGGATGACACCCAAACACATGGATGACACACAAACACATGGATGACACCCAAACACATGGATGACACACACACAAACACATGGATGACACACCAAACACATGGATGACACACAAACACACATGATGACACAAACACATGGATGACACCCAAACACATGGATGACAAACACAACACATGGATGAACCAAACACATGGATGACACCCAAACACATGGATGACACACAAACACATGGATGACACCCAAACACATGGATGACACACAAACACATGGATGACACCCAAACACAACACATGGATGACACCCAAACACATGGATGACACCCAAACACATGGATGACACACAAACACATGGATGACACCCAAACACATGGATGACACCCAAACACATGGATGACACACAAACACATGGATGAAACACATGGATGAACAAACACATGGATGACACCCAAACACATGGATGACACCCAAACACATGGATGACACCCAAACACATGGATGACACACAAACACATGGATGACACATGGATGACAAACACATGGATGACACCCAAACACATGGATGACACCCAAACACATGGATGACACCCAAACACATGGATGACACACAAACACATGGATGACACATGGATGACACAAACACATGGATGACACACAAAACACATGGATGACACCCAAACACATGGATGACACACAAACACAAACACATGGATGACACCCAAACACATGGATGACACCCAAACACATGGATGATAACACCCAAACACATGGATGACACACAAACACATGGATGACACACACCAAACACATGGACAAACACATGGATGACACAAACAAACACATGGATGACACAAACACATGGATGACACACAAACACATGGATGACACCCAAACACATGGACACACAAACACATGGATGACAACAAACACATGGATGACACACAAACACATGGATGACACAAACACATGGATGACACCCAAACACATGGATGACACCCAAACACATGGATGACACCCAAACACATGGATGACACCAAACACATGGGATGACACCCAAACACATGGATGACACCCCAAACACATGGATGACACATGGATGACACCCAAACACATGGATGACACCCAAACACATGGATGACACCCAAACACATGGATGACACACACAAACACATGGATGACACCCAAACACATGGATGACACACAAAACACATGGATGACACACAAACACATGGATGACACTCCAAACACATGGATGACAACCAAACACATGGATGACACCCAAACACATGGATGACACACCCAAACACATGGATGACACACAAACACATGGATGACACATGGAAACACATGGATGACACACAAACACATGGATGACACCCAAACACATGGATGACACACATGGATGACAACAAACACATGGATGACACCCAAACACATGGATGACACCCAAACACATGGATGACACACAAACACATGGATGACACCCAAACACATGGATGACACAAACACATGGATGACACCCAAACACATGGATGACACAAACACATGGATGATGGATGACACACACAAACACATGGATGACACCCAAACACATGGATGACACCCAAACACATGGATGACACCCAAACACATGGATGACACACAAACAAACACATGGATGACATGGACAAACACATGGATGACACACAAACACATGGATGACACACAAACACATGGATGACACAAACACATGGATGACACAAACACATGGATGAACACATGGATGACACAAACACATGGATGACACCCAAACACATGGATGACACCCAAACACATGGATGACACCCAAACACATGGATGACACCCAAACACATGGATGACACCCAACACATGGATGACACACATGGAACACATGGATGACACCCAAACACATGGATGACACACAAACACATGGATGACACACAAACACATGGATGACACACAAACACATGGATGACACATGGATGAACCAAACATGGATGACACCCAAACACATGGATGACACACAAACACATGGATGACACAAACACATGGATGAACACAAACACATGGATGACACAAACACATGGATGACACACAAACACATGGATGACACAAACCCACACATGGATGACACACAAACACATGGATGACACCCAAACACATGGATGACACCCAAACACATGGATGACACACAAACACATGGATGACATGGATGACACCCAAACACATGGATGACACACAAACACATGGATGACACACAAACACATGGATGACACACAAACACATGGATGACACCCAAACACATGGATGACAACAAACACATGGATGACACCCAAACACATGGATGACACCCAAACACATGGATGACACACAAACACATGGATGACACCCAAACACATGGATGACACACAAACACATGGATGACACACAAACACATGGATGACACACAAACACATGGATGACACCCAAACACATGGATGACACCCAAACACATGGATGACACACAAACACATGGATGACACCCAAACACATGGATGACACCCAAACACATGGATGACACACAAACACATGGATGACACCAAACACATGGATGACACACAAACACATGGATGACACCCAAACACATGGATGACACACAAACACATGGATGACACCCAAACACATGGATGACACCCAAACACATGGATGACACACAAACACATGGATGACACCCAAACACATGGATGACACACAAACACATGGATGACACCCAAACACATGGATGACACCCAAACACATGGATGACACCCAAACACATGGATGACACACAAACACATGGATGACACACAAACACATGGATGACACCCAAACACATGGATGACACCCAAACACATGGATGACACCCAAACACATGGATGACACACAAACACATGGATGACACCCAAACACATGGATGACACCCAAACACATGGATAACACACAAACACATGGATGACACCCAAACACATGGATGACACCCAAACACATGGATGACACACAAACACATGGATGACACCCAAACACATGGATGACACACAAACACATGGATGACCAAACACATGGATGACACCCAAACACATGGATGACACCCAAACACATGGATGACACCCAAACACATGGATGACACCCAAACACATGGATGACACCCAAACACATGGATGACACCCAAACACATGGATGACACACAAACACATGGATGACACCCAAACACATGGATGACACCCAAACACATGGATGACACCCAAACACATGGATAACACACAAACACATGGATAACACCCAAACACATGGATAACACACAACCACATGGATGACACCCAAACACATGGATGACACACCCAAACACATGGATGACACCCAAACACATGGATAACACACAAACACATGGATGACACCCAAACACATGGATAACACCCAAACACATGGATAACACCCAAACACATGGATGACACACAAACACATGGATGACACCCAAACACATGGATGACACCCAAACACATGGATGACACCCAAACACATGGATGACACACAAACACATGGATGACACCCAAACAACACAAACACATGGATGACACAAGATGGACACCCAAACACATGGATGACACACAAACACATGGATGACACACAAACACATGGATGACACACAAACACATGGATGACACACAAACACATGGATGACACCCAAACACATGGATGACACCCAAACACATGGATGACACACAAACACATGGATGACACCCAAACACATGGATGACACACAAACACATGGATGACACACAAACACATGGATGACACACAAACACATGGATGACACACAGATTCTGGCAATGCGATCCACGGTGACCTGTATAACCCAATAATGCTGGATATATTCTAGCCCGGAATCCTTACAGGGGAATTACCCATAGCAAAATCAACCTTCAAACAAATAAAACAAAATAAATAATATATTCGTTCTCCAAGGAGATATTGTTCAGCCAGATTCTGGATATTGTATAGAGATATATGTTGATAACGTCCTGGTCAAATCTTGTCTCAGGTATCAAACAGATGAGTAGAGATGTCGAGATGATGACTGGAAAACCACTGTCCGCCCCAGTGAAGATCCTCTTGACCTGTGTGACGCCGGCTGTTTTGATTGTAAGTAATACAGTTTACAGAGGTCGCGATCCATCTTAGTATTGATGTAATGTGGCCCTGGTGTCCACAACACAGAGATGACCACCCGAGTATCTGCCGGATACCAGGAATGAGTGAGTGAGTTTAGTTTTTCGCCGCACGCAGCAATATTCCAGTTATATATCGTAAACACTCAAGTCTGGACCAGACAATCCAGTGATCAACAGCATGAGCATCGATCTGCGCAATTGGGATACGATGACATGTGTCAACCAAGCCAGCGAGCCTGACCACCCGTTCCTGCTAGTCGCCTCTTACGACAAGCATGGGTTACTGAAAATCAATTCTAACCCGGATCTTCACGGGTAGGATACCAGGAATGACACGGGCATGATCTGAAACGTGTTGTAGCTGTGTGGGATGTATGACAGGCACGAGAAGAGTTACCGCTCCTTACGTTCTCTAACATTGAACAATGTGTCGCATCGAGCCATATATTTTGTGTATTGTTATGATCCCAACGGCTCATTAATACACTATAGTGTATTATCCTGCTGGCTATTCCTACTGAGTGTGACCCTCCCCAGGTTGTTGGTGTGTCTGTTGATTGTCAAAGAAGCCAGGATCAGGCTGTGTCTGTGGATCCCATCGTCTAGCCGCCATGAAAGTTCATTGCCCTGGAAGTTCAACTTGTTTTCTTATCTCCGGTTCTGTACTTTGTCACACTGTGTCCTCGATATTGTTGCATCAGATCGTGTTCATCTTGACCCTTCTCCGCTACCAACCACCGACCTACGGCAAGTACGTGTTTCCCAGCTACGCCCCTGTAATCGGCTGGATCATTGCAGCGCTGCCCCTTCTCCCCATACCTATCTACATGGTGATGACTGTCAGGAGGCACATGGCGACTCGTTCCTTCAAGAAGGTAATGTGCTTTCCTGTGATTCCGATGAAGGTCGAGAGTATTCATTCAGTTATAATGCGAGTGATTTTGTTCCGTTTTCAGAGTGTGAATCTTGCCTTGAGTCCTGCTGATGACTGGCTCCCTGCCGATGTCAGATACAGGGAGGAGTACAGGATGCACCACCTGGCTCGAAGACCAACCTTCAAGTCCAACATCGTGGATATCTATAAACAGTAAACGGATGGCGTAGCATCTTATTGGTAAAACGTTCGCTCATCATGCTGAACTCACGTGTTCGAGTCATTAGATGGCTAAAAACATGTCCACTGCCGTAATATTCCTGGGATATTGCTAAAAGCAACGATAGCTCTATTCAGTCATAGGCATGAATGCTTCAACTTATGGGGTGAAAGTCCGATCATTGGAAACCTTGGAAACATCATCGGATTTAGAACCATTACGACATAGACAGCATTCATTAACCCTTAACTGGTATGTATAAACACGCATCCACACACTGCAAACACACTAGTTAAACACAATTTACAATTTGACTTGTATTATCAGATTGCAGACATATTTTGTTACAACCGGAGAACCGGTATTAAACACAGTATGCTGTACCTGATCTCAAATAAATGAAATATCACATGATTGCGTTTGAAGAACGTCATTGGCTAGCAAGAAACCAGACATTACAGCTATGAACAGTGAGTAGGTGAGATAATATTTAACGTCACATCGGCAATATCTCAGCCATATCGTGACAAAGCCAATTAATAAAATACAAAAATGAAAACATTGTGAAGAGTTAAACCTGTCGACGATGGACAGTAAAAATACTAGAGTATCACATATATTAACATAAAACTAGCATGTAAAACTAAAACAGTGTAATTAAAGAAGACAATACAATATAAAACACGGGCTATAGATCGCCAGCTTCTGAAGGTAGATCACCATACTATGAACCATGGGGACTTACATTACTTTTGCTACCATCATGGACCCTAGTACAGCTGTTGAACTGAAATTGAGTATGAGTGAGTGAGTGAGTTAATATTTATCGTCACATCCGCAATATTCCAGCCATATCGTGAAGAGAACAATTGATAATTATATTATAGGTCAATAAAATTAGAAAATAAAAGCCTGTTGACGAAGAACACTAAAACAACTCTTGTATCACAGATATCCATTTAAAACTAATTATTAAATCTAAAACATTATAAAACAATTAAAGACTTCTTGTACAACTGGCGTTGGACATAATGTATGTTGAAGCCTTGCTAGGCAGCTACAAAAATATTAAAAATCAATATTGGCAGCAAAGAGGGTTCATGTGGTCCTGGCACAGTCAGGTTGGCCAGGGTTATAGTCTAACCCACCTAGAAAGTTTCGGAGAATATGAAGACTCCCCTACTCCACCGCCTTCTGCATTACAGTGAGTGAGTGAGTTAACATATCAGCCATATCGTGACTACGAAATTTGTACATTTGTAAATGTATGCATGAAATAAAAACAAACTTATATACTTACCTGTCTGCGAAGGACAGTAAAATAACTAGTACATCGCAGATTTATACTTAAAACTAGCATAAAACCATAAAGCACTGTTTCTAAGTCAACGGTACAATATACAAATGGGCTATAGACTGCCAACAACTGAAGGTAGATCACCATACTAGTAACCCTTCTGCACTACAAAGAGCGTCAGAAAGGCTGTGCTCCAGTTAGCAACAAACCCAAGTTGTCTCCCAAAGTCAGTAAACAAAAACAATTTCGAGTCGCAAAAACTGTCACTTTAGCAAGCTTGATATTTCGTAAGCAAGGTTCGCGAATTTTCCATGTTATTTCGGAATCTTGTCAAACACGATACTGTGGCACTAGATTTATCAAACATGACAAGATCAGCCTTGTTGGCTTGGGTACGTCTTAGGCTGTACATGGACCGATTCCAAAGGATTTTGTAATTGCCATTTTCCATGACACCTTCCACATATTCTGGGTTCTACCATGCATGGATGGACCTAGGAGTCAAAACCACCTGCATTGCGACGACGGTAGTAACATGATGTGACCACGCTATCATGTCGCTTTAGATACTGTAAACGTTGGGTATCCAATGGCAAGGTGTTGGGCAGTCTCACCATTTGTTTATTTTCTCAACAAGCATTAAGGATTGCTGAAGGCTTCCTAGATCAGAGGCAACATTAGAGCTTTATCCTACAAATTGGTTATCACTTCTGCCGATAGTTGATCAAGTGAAGCAGCGCTGATGGATAAGACAAAGCTCTCCTGCCTGGTGTAGCTGATGTGTCTCCGTGACTTGTGTTGGGGTCGAGTCCCAAGCGGCGAATATCGGGAGTCTGTCGTGATGTCCTGTACATGCAGTGTACTAGTCCCAAATACATATACATCAGGTATTGTCGATTACACGTCAAGTATCATTGGAAGAAAGAAGTCCTAAGATGAACCAGCTGGTTTTCTGTCCTCACTGTTACAGGTGGAAGACGACTCTCTGTTTATCTCTGTAGTGAGCTGGCATTATATATCATGAACACGTTCTGCAGAAAATTGTCAAATCTAGTTTGGAAAATGATTCCCTTGTTCGTATTATGAAATCGGTTCAAACCGTATTTGCATAGATTGTGAACCTACACATATGCGACGGATAGATCGTTTATATGAGTGTGACTCCTGTCGCCATTTTTGATCCTTCATATGCACAAAGGTAACAACGACCCTTTTACGTAAAGGGCGTGGGTTCAAATCCCCGATGGAACTCAGCCAAAATAAATCTGTACTTTACTGGGAATGTGTAATTACAAGTATAACATATAGTAAATTTGACCGCTTTCTAAATGGCATTGTATAGTCCATGGGAGCAGTGCCAATTTACGCTTATCAGCGGGGTACAAAAAGGCCGTGGTCAAGACAATTATTTTCATTTTTGTGGAAATGGCGGTGGCTGAGCGGGTTAGACGACGGCCTTTGCGTGGTGGCAATTAGATGCCTGACTCTGAGGATGTGGATTCGAATTCTCAACTCAACAAATATGCTAGAATCTGTACTTTACTGAGAAAGTGTAATCTCAGATATGACATGCGTTACGTTATGGTTGTTCATGTTTGCCAGTGATGTTTGTATCTGATGTAGAATCTGCGTTACAGAAGCAAATCAATACTTTAGAATCGTGAGGGTCAACAGTACATTTAGACAAAACAGATATTGTAGTATTGAGAAGAGGTGGACCATTGATGAAAAATAGGTGAAAATGTTTTTCAGTTAATTCTGACAGATACCGAGGAATAACTGTGTTATCCACAGGATCTGCTTGCACGAAGCTTCCCAACTTTGGTCGTAGAATTAGAAGGTAATTGTACATGGAGAATGTGGCCGATACCCTTTATGTATAAATGATGTCTGTAGCTGTATAAAATACTGACAAACATATCAAACTACACGATGACAGAACCCTAAGATAGGCTGTGAGATACTTATTTTCTATGATAACTGTGGATATTCAGCCTATGATAAACGTATGTTCTATGATAACTGTGGATATTAGGCCTATGCTATACTTTTGTTCTATGATAACTGTGGATATTAAGCCTGTGATATACTTATGTTCTATGATAATTGTGGATATTAAGCCTATGCATCTGCTGTACACACTTTACTGTTCTCAAATGTATTCGTGTGAATTTCCTAATGTGTTGGCAATAAATTTACTTTTCACAAGCATTTTCAAAAAGTTACAACCGATACGTATCACCAGTCCAGAAAACAGTATAGAAAACAGCTGGAGATACCTGGTGTATAGACAGTTAAAGGCACCTTTGTAGACTCCTGTGCTATGCACATATGCACTTTCCCTGTTTAGGGTTAGGTGTCCATCATAGGAATTATAGGTTTGACTTTGGCTTCAGTACGCGAAATAGCCACTGGCTTGCTAGCCCATGGCTAGTGAATTTTCGTGGGGTCATTTTGTAAAGCTATCACTCTCTCCGACTTGTTAAAGCTTACATTTAACGAAAACCACAATACTTATAAACTGAACGCCAAAAGAATTGTTACACCTCTGAACATAGAATATCCTAAAATGTTATATTGATAGAAGACTTTGGTTTGGTATGTTTTAACAACCAATCGTGTAACTCTATTGAGTCAAAAACATCAGACTGAGGAAGTCATTGATAATTAGGATATCGACATGTTTGTTTAGGTGGGGTCCATTGTCCTATTTTCAATAAGGTAAAAATTCAAATAAAAAGTGTGAAAAACAGTTAAAAATGGGTCCAAATGGTATTGTTTATGATGATAATGCATGCACATTGACAAAGAGTGATAAAGTTGGGTTTTGGATATGAAAGAATGGTTGTTTACCGTAAAAAAAGGACCCAATGCCCAATTTTCTTCTATTTTCATTTAGTTGTATCTTTATTAAGTCTTCAAATTCATCAGCAAGTTAATTTGTCCAGTAAAGTAATTTTTTACATTATTTTTCTAAGTATAAGTTCATATAAGAATATTTATTAATTCTTCATCTTAAGATATTAATATTTTTCTATTTCATTTTAAGTTTGAATAGGTTTGTGCATTTGTTCCTTAAAAGTTATTAGTTAAACGGAGATAATTTCCTATCATTTCATTTTCATTCCATTATTAAGGGAGGTAATTCAGGGTGGATTGTATTTTAGCCCTTGTTTTTAGTTCTGGGAACCCCGGTTATTATCCATATCACATATGACAGAGCACATGGCAGTTTGTCAATGTCCATGAAGTTTGTCAAGTTGAAGTTGAAGTTAAAGTTATCTTTATGGGAATACAGTAATGGTGAGCTATTTCTATTTACTTTGTAATTTATTATTTTATGTATAATAATTTGCTAGGGTATTTTTATGTATGTATATTAAACTGTTTCGCTGTTTGCATTTCTTGGAAGTAACTTTTGATATTACGCTGAAATAGGGTTTTATGTTATAAGTATTAAGCTCAAGTAGCAAGTGTATATTGTCAATCTATTTGTCATAAGTATTATGTTTGCTGTTTAAATATTTTGTCTGTCACTTTTTAAGATAGTTTTACTTTATTGTTTGCAGTTAATCTGCTAGTTCTGACTAAGAAAGAAAAGAAGAGAATAAAGTCAACATTAAGTTTAAGTGGATTTTGTTGGTCCTACACACCACACGTTCTTCACCCGCTCTGACTGGGTTCGGTATCTCGGGTGCTTCGTTTCGAGGGTAGTAAACCCAAGTACAAACTATAGCACTTTTGATTTGCGATTGTACGCTTATACATTTTTTGTTTGTTTGTTTTGTAAATAATCAGCAATGTATATTATATGTCATGAACAAATGATAATTGTGTTTTCATTATGTTTATTTCTTTTGTTGCATCTTAACTTTACGTTATAGCACATTTTTAAAACATGCAAGGTTATGGCCTGATAAAAATGTTCATCATATAAGCAGCTTAATGATGAAACCAGTGTCTTCATTGAAATTTCGGACTAGTGATCATATTTTGTTGGCTACTAACTTTCAGGGATAGCTAGCCGAATAGCTAGCACAATTTGAAAACTATTTCTCACAACGTTTGGCTTAGTGGTCAGTGATGTAAGCAGCTGATAGCAAGGGTCTGAGGT